GGAAGTCTTTCTAGAATTTTCCACCGAGTGAGCAGGTCTATAATTTTTCCTCCCACCTAGGATAGGACAGAGCAAGGTCTTTGCATATTTTTAGTTATGATTTATTTAGTTATGATTTATTTAAAAACTGGGTACAAAAAATAAAGTCCTTTCAAGTGGAAGACTTGACACATAAATATTTCTGTGCTCATTTCCCATTTGGGAAGCTAAGCGCAAGAACCGTAAGAACTCTGACAGCCAGCCAGCTTTCTTCTCTATCAGCCTCATCCTTAGTCCCTTTTTGCAGCTCTGAGAATCTCTCTTTGTGAGGTGTCAAGTTGATCCTTTTTGCTACCTCCACCTCTGCTTCTCTGTGTTTCACCTGAAAAATGTGCCAACCCAGCCCACCATGCTTCTGAAAGGCCCAAGTGATTTGTGACTGGCTCTGTCTGCTCCTAAGGCTGCCCTAGGATAAGACTTATCCATACACTCTGATAAGCGACAGGTGCTTTTCTCTGTTGACATATGTTGTCACAACCATTATATTATGTGTCTTGCGTATCTTAGAAGGTAAAAGAGTTCCAAGGACCTAACTTTTGATAAGAGCTCTGGTGGCTCAGTGGTTAAGAGCTCAGCTGCTAGCCAAAAGGTTGGCAGTTTTAATCCAGCAGCAGCTCCTTGGAGAGCCTATGGGGCTGTTCTAGTCTGTCCTATAGGGTCGTTATGAGTCGGAATCGACTCGACGACAACGGGTAGTAGTAGTACTAATAGTAGTAACTTTTGAGAAGTGAGCTTTGGAATAGCTAAGAAGTGATTTTCGTCAGAGAATTCATTAAACCACATTGTAAAGTATTATTAAACAGTATGTTCATTTGATGACTGCATTTTAAATCTCTAATGTTTTATGAGGCAGAGTTAATGAGCGCTTTGGTTTTTTGATGGGTGTTCCAAATTCTGAGGATCAAAGAAAGTCAAGGAGCAGAAGCATAATGACATCAGTTTGGCTTGATGTTAACTCAACAGATGTAAAGCATGCTTTCCTTTGAGAAATTAAAATACTGATATTACTTGCCAAATGGATTAATTAACTTATAAAAATTTACACATGAAAAGTTTCTTCTCCTCAAAGAAAAACGTCATGTCAGAATTTCATTAATGAAAAATTAACTTTAAAATGGAAGTCCATAAGAAAATGTGGTTTTATTTACAAAAATTAGCTGCACGTAACTTTTCAGAAACATACTGAAACTCAGGCCCATTGGTATGGAAGGCGGTGATCTTGCTCACAGGCCTTGGGGTCTTCAGGACCAAGTCCAAAGTCTGGCTCTGGGCAAGTAAGGATAGAAACCAAATCTTTCTGCGCCTCAAAGTTTTCATCTTCAAAATGATAATAATACTTGTTAAGATCCTTATCTTTAAAATAATTCCTACTTTGTAGCATTTTAATAAACCAGTTGCCATTGGGTCAACTCATGATGACCCCATGTGTGTCAGAGCAGAACTGTGCTCCATAGGGTTTTCAAAGGCTGGTTTTGGGAAGCAGATTTCTAGGTCTTTCTTCTGAGGCACATCTGGGTAGACTTAAACCACCAACCTTTTGGTTAGCAGTTTAGCTCATTAACCTTTGTTCCCTCCACCCCCGTCCCCCACCAGGGACTCCAGCATTGCAGTAAGAAACTAAAAAGTAAGAAATAATATGTGTGGAATTTTAGCAAAATTCTGAGCACATTGTAAGTATTCAAAAATGGTAGCTGTAACTATTAATACTACAAAATAAAGAATTAAAATTACACCTTAGATCGTAATATTTGCTAAAGAAAATTTGCCCTCACACACCTGAAATGCTTTCAATCCACTAATTCCAGGCTAAGGCATCCAATTTTCTATTGTCTTTTGCAGGTTGTTTAAAATAATACTGATAAAAACCAGGTACTGAGAGGATAATGTGCCATCTTTGTGACTCAGTGTTTGACACCTATCATCTCATTGAATACCCCCCAACAGCCCATGAGGCGGGTGTGATTATCCCCATTTTACCGGTGTGGAAACTGAAACTCAGAGTTTAAGTCAGTTGCCCAAGGTTATCCTGCTGTTAATGACCAAATCAGGATTTCAACCCAGTTAGACTGCTAACATTCATGCCCTTAAACTCTGTTCTATTCTGAAAATAAAAATGAGTGACAGTAGGGGAGGTGGATGCTTTAGAGCCTTTTTCTACTTTAAATATATGTTACTCTGCGTCAGTGGTCCTCAATTTTTTTTTTTAACCAAAATTCCTTTGAACTCTAAAAAACTATTAGGAGCCTCACGAAGCTTTTGTTGATGTGGAATATGATGTTGTTGTTAGGTGCTGTCCAGTCGGTTCTGACTCATAGCAACCCTGTGTACGACAGAACAAAACACTGCCTGATCCTATACCATCCTCACAACCGTTGTTATGCTTGAGCCCACTGTTGCAGCCACTGTGTCAATCCATCTCATTGAGGGTCTTCCTCTTTTTTGCTGACCCTCTACTTTACCAAGCATGATGTCCTTCTCCAGGGACTGGTCCCTCCTGATAACATGTCCAAAGTATGTGAGACAAAGTCTCACCATCCTTGTTTCTAAGGAGCGTTCTGGCTGTACTTCTTCCAAAACAGATTTATTCATTCTTCTGGCAGTCCATGATATATTCAGTATTCTTCACCAACACCATAATTCAAAGACATCAACTCTTCTTCAGATGTGGATTATACTTATTGATATTTTCCACATTGTATGTTAAAGCTGAGAAATTTTTATATTTTTTAATAAGAATAATCAACACATTACAAGTTAATGCAAATAACATATTTTTATTAAAAAATCTATACTTCCCAAAACAAAAATATTTTTAGTGAAAAAAGTGGCTTTATTTTACATTTTTGCAAATCTCTTTAACGTCTGATTAATAGAGGACAGCTGGATTCTCCTAAATACTTCTGCATTGGATCTGTTGGGATATCGTGTGTCATGAAGCCTCTGGAAAATTCCACTGTGCACTCATGAGAGAAACAGAATTTTAGTGTTATTATAAAAATACTTTGACCACTGAATCCCTGAAAGATCTCAGGGATACCTAGGGGTCCTAGGCCACACTTTCAGAATCACATTTTAGGTAAAATCTTCAAGCATACTGAGAAATTCCAAAGCCAATCTTTGTCGTTGTTAGTTGCCATGGAGTCAACAACCCCGTGTACAACAGAATGAAATGTTGTCCAGTCCTGCACCATCTTCTTGATCACTGGTATGTTTGAATCCATTGTGGCAGTCACTGTGTATTTTGAGTGTCTTCCAACCTAGGGGGCTCATCTTCCAGCTCTATATCAGACAATATCTGTTGTGACCCATAGGGTTTTCATTGGCTTATTTTTGGAAGTAGATCATCAGGCGTTTCTTTCTAGTCTGTCTTAGTCTAGAAGCTCCACTGAAATCTGTTTATCATGAGTGATCCGGATGGTGTTTGAAATACATCTTGATGGTATTTGAAATACCGGTGGCATAGCTTCCAGCATCATAGCAACATACAAGCCACCACAGTATAACAAACTGGCAGACAGATAGTAGAAGCCAACCCTGGCCTACAGTAATAATCTAAATTTATCATTCAGTTGCCTGCTTATCTACAAAGAGTCTCTTTGTACTGTTCTGGAAAAGAATGATGAAAATGTGCCATCTCTTGGTAATGCTAAGCATTCAGCGGGAAAAGGTTTAAAATTATTGATATCACTCAGCTAAGCCAAATATGTTATTGAAAAATGTGTCAGAATTATATTTGGTTAGCTCACTATTCAGAGGTAAAAATTACTGTATTTATATTATAGAATAAAAGAGGACAACCTTTTCCTATATAAATGAAATGTAATCAAAGTGTCATTCTATTTTTGTGGCACTAACCAAACTAATTAAATTATTATGTTGCTTCAGTGAAGGTAGTAATCAAATATTAGCAGACACGTACCCTGGTAAAATAGAGAGTACTGCAAGAGCATTGGAAATCTTGTATAAGATGAAAAAATCTTACATATGAGTAATGTTCAGAAACATGAGAAGTTGAATCTTTTGCTTTTTTATAAGACTGTATTGTCAAAAGGTTTTGTCTGAGAAACATCATTTTTCTTTATTGCTGTAAAACCCAAGCCCAGAAACAAAACATTTATAAATGATATTTGGTTTTGCTAAGTCATGTGTTCAAACTCTTTGTGCTTTACCATACAATTTCTGCATGGAAAATTGTTATTTTAATGTTCTTTACTTATTCATAGTAATTTTAAGGTTAACATAGTACCCTAAAAAAAAAAAAAAAATTGCCGGCAAATCGATGCCACCTCACTAGGTGCTCTCAAAGAATTGTACCTGAAAAATGACCCAATTTCACAGACATGTTAGAAAAGCTAAAGAGCTGAAGAATCATAATTTCAGGAGAAACACTGACCAACAGGAAAACATTACATTTTTCAAAATTGAAAATATTCATATAGCATGAAAAATCAGTAACAGTAAAATGAAGTTTGATTGCCATTGCCAGTTGGCCCGTACTCCCAACCAACCACTTGATTGCCCGTCAAAAAAAAAAAAAAAAAAACCATTACCGTCGAGTCGATTCAGACTCATAGGGACCCTTAAGGACAGAGTAGAACTGCCCCATAGAGTTTCCAAGGAGCGCCTGGTGGATCTGAACTGCCAACCTTTTGCCTAGCAGCCATAGCTCTTAACCACTACACCCCCAGGGTTTCATGCAAAAGCCCACGTATATTGAAGTTTCCAAATCTGATGAGAGAAGGAACAGCAGTGTTCACATCAATGTTTTCATCTAAAGCCAATTCCTGGCTGACTATTTTACACATTCTAGTGATGCTATTATGCTGCAAGTTTTTTTCTAATATCCAGATGCTCTGAAGAAAAGAAAACACTAACAGGTTCCTCAGAAAACAGCTGTTTGTTTAAATAGAAAACCTTGGCCTGGCCAAAAAGCATTGAACAGGGTTTCTCGATTCTCTCAGGTTCTCTGTAGCAACAGTCTGCTGGAGTCCACAGATTACTGGTTGCAGAATCAGAGGATGCCCTGCCAAATTGGTTTTGTGGAAGACAAGTCCGAAAACTGTGCTTCCGTAAGTACGCAGAACTCTCGCGATATTGTCTGATGAGGCAGGAAACCGTGCCGTTGTGCCCGTGTTTAGGACAGAAGTTGCTGGCAATGTATCTTTTTGATGTATCCTTTTGCAAAGACATAGCTGCTTTATCTGAACTGTTAATGCCATAACATACAGAGCTAAAGCTTCTATTCCAATTTTGCTCATTTCAACGAGTAAATGAATCTGATGGATTCTCTGAAGAGGAAAAAAAATTTTTTTTTTTTTTAAAATATTTTCACCACCACTGAGAAAAGATTCAGGAATAGAATTGTATGATGAGAGATAAAAGACCACCCAACAACCCTCTTGGATTCTTTTCAATATATTCCATAGCCCCTGCTGTAGATATTTTCCAACATGAAAATTGTATAAAAATTGTCCCCCATTCTTCTAGGTTATAGTCCTTATTTGAAAACCTGTTTAATTTAAGGGATATACAGGCATGCATTTAAAATATTGAAGGTGCACTTAACTTGTAAAACCTTCCTTTTCAAGGCAAGAGATGTTTTTATAGGTAAACAATATTCTTCCAGTTTAGAACGTGGCTATCAATTGTTTATGTCAAATATGCTCCTTCCTATATGTTGTACAAAGCTATATGTTTTCATTTTAATTGAAACCACCTAGCTCTTCTTGGGTCGTGATTACAGAGATTGGGGGAGAGTATTTCCAAAGAGGAGGGAAATGCAATTCTTATGACTAAAGTGAGCAGTGGCTCTGAGCTATTTCCGGAGGTAAGTGGCATACCAGCATTTCTGTTTAAAGCCAAGGGAATTTAAAAAAAAAGGGGTGGGGGGGAAGAAAACCAGAAGCTGAAAAATGGGATGAGAAGGCTTTTTCCGTATAATGAACAGAACCAGAACTGGCAGACAGAGGATGTAAAATATTTCACCTTCCCCCACTGCAAAGCCTCATACAAGGAATGTACAGTCCATTCAACAGACTGAATTCAATCTCTTTGTTTAGGCTAATGATCGTCATTACCCTCCTTTTAGTACATTGGCTCCCTTTTCCCGGAGACTTGTTGCTGGCTAATGATCTTTTGGGAAAACAAAAAGGATTGGGTGGCAAGTAATTTAATAGTGATACCTTCTTTGCAAATTCAGTACTGAGATGAGTTGGAAAATGCAGGCATTTGCTGATACAGATCATTAATTACACAGTGAAAAATTGTAAAAGTGAGGGAGATACAACAGAAATGCTATTGGTGGCTACACTGTGGTCAAAGTTGTCCTCTGAACAGCTGCTATGTTACAAAGTCTCCCACTTTGTAATACATCAGCACAAAAGTTAGGCCACTGGAAATTGTGTAATGAAGGGCAAAGAGATCTCTACATTTCATATGTTTTAGGTCTGGCTTGAAGATCTACGATTAGAAATGCTAAACTTTATAGCCAAATATAAGGATCCCCATTGGATCTTCTGAATCGACTCAACAGCAATGAGTTTGGCTTGGTTTTTTTATGTGTAAGAAAACTCTTCCTCCATCCTCCACCAATCCCAATAGACTTGAATTTGGACTTATATCTCCATGACTTCCTTTTCAATCCTTTGTCCCTTTATAATGTCAGTTGCATCAGTGAGGGTTAGCGGATTCACCCTGCTTTCTCGGTTCTTTCTATTCTTTCTAGAAGGGGAAAAAAGTCTAAACACAAATGATAGGTATATTGGAAGATTTTTTTTCCCCCAACAGTTTATAATAATGAAAACTGACATAAACTCTAAAAATTATCCATTGATTCTAAAAGTAAAAGAAATCTAAGAATCCGTATGAAAAACTAGCCCTGACAGAGACTGGAGAAACCCCGAGAGTATGGCCCCCGGACATTCGTTTAGCTCAGTAATGAAGTCACTCCGGAAGTTCACCATTCAGTCGAAGATTAGACAGCCCCATAAAACAAAACAAGACTAATGGGGCACAACAGTCCAGGGTCAAGGACTAGAAGGCAGGAGAGGACAGGAAAGCTGGTAATAGGGAACCCAAGGTTAAGAAGGGACAGTGATGACATGTTGTTGGGTTGTTAACCATTGTCATAAAACAATATGTGTACTAACTCTTTAATGAGAAACTATTTGTTCTGGAAACTTCCATCTAAAGTACAATTGAAAAAAAAAAAGAAACCTAACCCTAATATCTCAATAATATCCTATGGTCACTTTTTTTAAATTTCCAAATCCTTCCTCTTTCTTGCCTAGCACAGATTTCTGGAGTAGAGAGAAGAACTTAGAGTTTAGAGTCAGATATTGTTGAGGGGGAAATATTAACTAGAGGAGAAGTACTGGTAAACGATAGTGATGGCTGGCCAAGATAAGGAGCTCTTGAAGACAATAGGGACACAGAAGGGGTAGCCAAAATGGTCAGGGAAAACGTACATGATCCATTTTCAAACCAATTCTCCATACCAGCATGAACATAAAATATAAAACTGTGATTTAAAGGAAAAAAAATGATTCAAAAATAGTGTCTTCATTAAAGTTTTTTTTTTTTGTTTAATTTAGTTTCAAAAAATCATCCCAAACTGCAACCTATTGACAAATAATCACAACATAATTTGAGGAACCTGTAGCAGTGGTGTCGCATATTTTATTACTTTGTAATCTATTCTTGAACCCTAGTGATGCAGTGGTTAAGCGCTCAGCTGCTAACCAAAAGGTCGGTGGTTTGAACACCCCAGTGGCTTGATGGGAGAAAGATGTGGCAGTCTGCTTTCATAAAGATTTACAGCCTTGGAAACCCTATGGGGCAATTCTACTCTGTCCTATAGAGTCCCTATGAGTCAGAATCCACTTGATGGTAAAGGGGTTGGCTTTTTTTTTAAATCTGTTCTTAATTCTTGGGGACGCTACCCTAAGTTAATCATTACTTCTTTAATTCATTTTTTTCCTGATCAAAATTCATAGTCAACTTTTTCATATCCAACTTTCATGAGCTTCATATTTTTTTATACTGAACTCCAAGTATTTAGATTTGTGGTTTCTTAGAGCTAAATACCTCAGTGTACCAATGTTTTCTGAATTCCAGATGACCATTTAAAACTTTTATTGAGGGAAAATCTCTGATTTGGCAAACTTTAGGGCTGAGTGTGCGTGTGCCAGTAAGGCTGTTTGTTTGGGAGCATCAAATGATGAGTTTCAGTCACTTCTTCAGTAGGGAGCTGTATTTCTTTCATAGCTAAAATGAGAATGTCAAGAGCAGTTTTTCCCTTTACTAGCCTGTGAGCTGTGAGCAGCCAGAAATACGGTACCAGTTACCATCATTGATTTCGACTCATGGTGACCCCATGTGGGTCAGAGTGGAAATGTGCTCCATAGGGTTTTCAGTGGCTAAATGTTTGGAAGTAGATTGTCAGACCTTTCTTTCAAGGCACCTCTGGGTGGATTTAAGCCTACAAATTTTCAATTAGCAGGTGAGCTCGTTAACCGTATGCACCACTCAGAAATATGACAGGCACCCGAAGGAGGAACTTCTAGCCCCCTTGGTTGGCTCAGAAGCTCCTTGAAATCATCTTCAAAACAATTTCCAGAGCGGTTCCAGCAAGATGGCACTCTAGGCAGAAGCACCACGCCGTCCCTCCACAGCAAAGATCCGAAAAACTAAGTCAAACAGAGAATCAACAATTCTGAAACCCTAGAACATCAAATGAAGAGATAAAGAACTCAGCCGAGCACCAAATGGAGTGAGAATACTGAAAGAGAACGGAGAGCAAGGAGAGATTCATGCAGAGGTCCCCTACCAGCTAACGCAGCGCGGATCCACCATCTTGGACTCCTATCGGAGACCAGCAAATGGGGGTACGAGAA